CCCGGCAGTATGAATGCGATATGTCTGTATGGTATGTGGTATGATGGGGGAACTCACTAAGCATTGTGCTTACTGTTTTAGTTTTGGGTTTCAGGTACCTCTTCGTCTAAGGGGAAGGAGCCGGCAGTGTAGCAGCGCATCACACACACACACATGATTTCCGCATGGAGTCTTCTGGGATTGTACTCTGATATGTTATTATTTTATGACTTGGGTTTTTAGACATGATGCATTGTTTTATGAGATGTTGTGTTTTCACAGTATTTTCTTATGAATGTTTTTATGAGACAGTTAATTAAAAAGAAATTTTTGGACTTGAAAATTGGGATGTTACATTTACACAATAGGCACTACGTCTCATAGTCAACAGGGTTTACACAATAGGCACTACGTCTCATAGTCACCAGATATTTCATCTACCCATGTTCTACCCAACATATTTGTAGATATAAAATACATATACGGTTTAAATCATTAAAAACCTGTATAAAACATCCATTCCACACCCATCTCAAATAAACACACAATAAGTAACACATAACACGTATTTCATAGCAAATACTACATATTTATGTGTTAGAAGAAAGTAACTATACACTCACTTGATAAGACGATGATCGAACAGCACCTCGTCTCTTAAAATAATATTTTCCGATAAAACCGGGACGTTTTCTCCAAAACCGGGCTTTACGCGGGTAGAGTTTTGGCTCGAAAACTATTTTTCTAGAGATCTTTGGGGCTTCGGGACTTGCTTCGAGTCTCGGGAATGATACCGGGGCTTCGGGGTATTTCTTGCACGCAAAACGATGCAAAAATGAGAGAGAAAGGAAGAAATTTGGCAAAAAGATCGGCGGCCCTCGACTTCTATTTATAGGGGCTGAAACCCCGAGTTACGCTGGGCGTAACTCCAAATTATGCTGGGCGTAATCCTCCGTCGACATGTACGCTGGGCGTACATCTAGGTACGCTGGGCGTACCGGGTGGATAGGGCCGGATGAGTCACGGGTTTGGTATTATCCGATTTTATAATTAAATAAATATATTTTAATTATTTAAAAACTTCAGAAATTCATACCTTCCTCATACGAACTCCGTTTTCGACGTTCTTTATATCCACGCGTAGGTGAGACTATGCTCTACAACTTTCGTTTAGACTCCGTCGGCTAATTTTGAATTTATTTTATTATATTATTTTTAGTAGGCCGGGACAGGAAATGTTCGTTAAAAATTCATAACTCCTTCATCCGACGTCCGTTTCCGTCTGTCTTTTTACCGTTGCACTACTATTAACGAGATATTCGATTATCATTTAGATTGTTTCGGCTAAAAACCACTCGATCTCATATTCGAGTTTTGGGCTGTACACTGCTAAGCTGAAACTTAGAAAAATCATAACTTCTTCATACGAAGTCAGATTTGGACGTTCTTTTTATGCACGCTCTCGGTTTAACAAACTCTACAACTTTCGTTTAGATCGCTAAATCCAAATATCGTTCTATCGTAAATTCACTATTTACGTCGCGCTGTGTCGTGCCGGTTCTGTCGCGAAACTTCGACAGGTCATAACTTCTTCGTTATAACTCGGATTTCGGCGTTCTTTATATGTACGGAATCCTTGTAACATATACTACAACTTAGTTAAGATTAATCCTTCTAAATAATCTTCCATCAAAAAGTCATTTTTGATGCTTATCGTCTCTAAATTGACTAGCCCTAATCTACGGGCGTTACAATTTATAAATAAAGCATGCATGAATTTATCAGTAATTTAGTTAGTTCTCAGCCACATTCTTAGTCTAGCTTAGCCTCCGATCTTGGAGGTTATGCAAGTGGTGGTCAATACACAGGCCCGCTCACAAGATCAAGATCACGGGTTGTAACACATATATGCATTATAATCGTCCTAAGTTCTTAAAATTCAACTCTTAACATGATTTACTTCCAAGATTTTTCTAAATTTCACCATTATCTTCCTCTTACATAATTTTCATTTTCAACTATAATATATATAGCCTAGTAAGTGTTCGGTAGAAAGATGTGATGTAAGAGGAAGATAAAAGTGAAATTTCGAAAATCTTGAATGTAAATGAAATTAGGAGTTGAAGTTTAAGAACATTATAATGCATATATGATACAAAACGACGTATTATGGTGGGTTTGGGTACCTAAGCTTATATACCCTTAAGGGTATATTCACTTTTCCCACCTATATATATATATATATATATATATATATATATATATATATATATATATATATATATATATATATATATATATATATATATATATATATATATATCCTACATGCAATGATACTTTCTATAGTATTTTGTATGTGGATACATATAATGGGTTGTTTCGTTTACAGCTAATGGGCTTAATGGTTAAACTAGACAGAGTAGACATGGTTGTTTCAAATTACTTTAAATATTAATGGTTAAAAATATAAACTTAATTTGACTATTAATGGTTAAAAATATAAAGTCAAAAAAAAAAAAACTATATATTAACACACTAACCCTTTATCTATTTGGTTTTCTTTTTTCCACCCATCTTTGATGAAATGAATAAATATTCTGATTTTTTTTCTTTGGAATGTAAGATAAGATCCTAATTTAGTCTCATTCAAATAGTATATTCTAGGGATGAGTTATAAAACCGAAAACCGGAACCGGTATAACTACTGAAAAATGTTTAAAAGGTCCGGGTATTGGGTCTATAAATTAGCTTTATCCATGTTCCGGGTATTGCGGGTCCAAATCAAATGGGTCCGAGTATTTCAAGTTTTAGAACCAGATTTGTTAAAAAAACAAAAACCGGGTTTAATGAATCGGAACCGGTTTAGTGGGCTTTGATTTATGTGGGATTCTCACCAAATTCCCATTCTTTGATTCATTTTTTTTCCAATTATTCTAATTCCTCTACATCAATTTTTTATAAAATTTACAAGAAAACAATAAAGAAATACACATGGAGTCACTTATGACAACATCATAGCTTAGTTTCTTCTTCTGGCCATTTAAATAGATCAGATATATATTAAATAATATATGAATCAATTTATAATACAAAACTATATTACCAATAATACATGAATCAATTTATAATACAAAACTTTTAGTTTGATCCACAGAATCTAGAATAAAACAATTGAAATCATACGTTCAAATATCCTAATTCATATGTACAAGTGTAAGCAAATAAAATACATACTTAAACAGATCAGTTATATATATTACTAATAATATATAAATCAATTTATAATACAAATTTTTTAGTTTAATTTAGAGACTAGAAAAAAAAAATCATGGTCACATAAAATTTTTAGTTTTTCTTTTGTTCCAAAATTCCGGGTTTTCAGTTCCATTTCCGGGTTTTCCGTAACAGTTTCCCGGAACCGGTTCCCGTATACCGGTCCGGTTCTTGATTCTTATAAATCGTCAATTTCGGTTTTCGGGTAAACCGATCCAGGTTTGGACCCACTTTCATTCCTAGTATATTCGGTCTATAAAAAAATATAAAACAATAGACCTATATAGACCTTTTATATACACTGCATTATATCCAAACAAACATCATTACCTATTTATCCATTTTACCCATACATAACGTAATGAAAAAAAAGAAAAAAAAAAAAAACTGGTACGACAGCAAATTGGAAAAATTGTTAAAAGAAAGTTTGATTATTAAACAAATTAATATAACCTTGACGAAGCCAGTCTTCAGCTTTCTCATAGAAATTCATTTTACATGTTTTTGAGTAATGTTACTTTTATTAAAAAGAAAAAGATTTGGCTTTTCATCTATTAAGGGTATGACAGTCAATTTGCATATGTTAGCTGGGCTCTAGGCTTTTATGCCAGCCATTAAGGGTAAAATGGTCAACTACATTTTGGTTAATGCTACTTATATGGGTAAAGATTTGGCAACTGTCACTTTACACTTTTTCGTTGATATCTTAATAAGAATTGCTATCATTTGAAGTATTTAACCTACTATGAATTAAACGTACTATCAATCATGTATCCTCTTCAAACCTAGAAAAAGAAAAACAAAGAGAAGAGCTCCAGATCCAAATTTTAAGGCAGTTAGTACTTAGTAGTAAGGACTTTGTCAACCTTAATGAACATCACAGAACTGCTTGACAAACTGCTTATGAAATCTAATTTAATACACTCTTTTTTCAATGTGTGAGTGCGTAATATTTCCAAAATTTTCACATAAGTTCAACAAGCAAAGAAACACATTTGAATTTTCAAACTCATAGCATAAACAGTACAACTGATGGTTAAGTAGCTTTAAGAACAATATCAAACTTTTATCATAAATTTTCAATTTTACCCAATTCTGACACAAGATGCGCCATTGTCAATGACGATTGGAACCCTTTGTGGACAGTAACTTCGAATATTAATCTTTCTTCAATTCTGGGAATAAAACAGTAACCAATTCCGACAAAACTTCTCTGATCTTCAACCACCACCTTAGCATATCCACAGCTTTCTTTTTCACAGATTCAGAATTCTTAGAATTCAACATAATCCTTTGAATTATTCCCTCCAACACATTATTAAGGGAATCTCTCTTTCTCATTCATCCTGAAGAATACTTTCCTTGATCTACCACCTGCTACCTTAACTGAATAAGTCGAACCCCATGTTGGTTTTGTAACAATTTCTCCATCACCAATATTATCAATTCCTTCAGCATCTTTATTTGGTAACTTTACTTTCTGGTTTATAGCTCAAGCCAAGACTATACCGGTTCAAGCTATATCTATGTAATAGTAACAGAAAAAAGTCTTAATAGATTGCATCACAACAGAATTTGGCTTCAAACCCCAATCTTTTGAAAGCTTCAGCAAAACAACTAAATCATGTGGATTGAGATTTGGGAAATCAGCAATCGTGAAAGTAATATCATCCATAATGTCTCTCCGAACAACAAACTTGAAATTCTGAAACACATTTTCAAAACTTTCGGTTTTCATGATAGACTCAACCCTTCTGATCATCTTTGGACTCCAAAAACATTTTGAAGGTTTCCCAGCAAGTCAAATCATCAATATTTTCATTAATCTTTAGACCCATTATAGGATAGCCATATGCCCTTGGAGATATAGGAAAATCAATTTGCTTTTCCAAAGAATTGATAATTAAGCAACTTTCTTTACGAACAAGATCAAACACAATATTTTTAGAAAATCCCGGACTTCTTATCAGCTTTACCCTATTCTCAGCTTCCCCTTTTTCTTCTTCAGCAAATTTCTTGGTGTACTCTGCATCAAAATTCACATGAAAACTACTTTTTTCCTCAGCTAGCACTAACATCTTTTCTTTTCCTTTTGAAGAACTTGGTTCAGAACTTGATAAAGGCATCGTAGTAACAGCAGTTGAACCAATTAAAAGAGGTTTTGATAATGGGAAAGGAATACTCTTTATGAATTGGGTAGAAACAGGAAATACAACAGTGTTTGATATGGTAGATGGTAAGGTATATTCAGAAGATAGAACAGGAACTGATGTCGAAGGTTGAACTAAAGTAGCTTCGGATGATATAAGAATGATCTCTGGATTCTTGAGATTCAATTCCTGACTTTCTCCTTCTCTCCCTTGTTTCGAAGGTTACAAAGATACCTTTGGATTAACAACATTCGTGTAAGAGCGAAGAAACTCAATATGGGCTAATGCTTTCGTCAACTCACTTTGTAAAGTAATTTCTCTCTGTTTCGCTTCCGTAAGAGATTCATTTAGACTTTTGAGAGAATTTTTATGTTCACTTTTGAGATCACTAAATGCCTTATTTAAAGACTTCTCATTCTCTTCTCTCATTTTCATGATTTCATCAAGAAGCTTTTTGCGCTCATTAAACATAACTTCTTGTACCTTCGTCATATGGGACTTGGTTTCAATATTTATGTGAGCTTTGAAAAAATCAAAACCAGTCGTTAATGAATCAATCTTTTTGTGTTGATCAGAAAGTATGACTGACCAATCAGCAAGCATTTTTTCTTGATTCAAATGTTGGGCAGGTTGAGTATTGGAATCAAGAGATTGTAATACAACATTAAGCTTACGATTTAACTTCTTAAAATCTCTTTTAGACATCAACTGATTATCATCTTCGTCATCCTCTTCATCAGAATCAGCTAAACCTTCACCAAGAGCAGCCATTTCAAAATTATTGACAACATCATCAAAAGAAGGATCCTCCCCAGCCTTAAACACAAATCCATCAACCTCTTCTTCTTCTTCAGAAATGGTTAGAGGTTCAGAGATAGACATTGGTTTGGAAATATGAGTTTCAAAAACAGGTTCTGAAATGGGAACTATATCAACCAATGTAGTTTTGACTGGAGTTGTAGCAGCAGACATTGGAATTGTCTCCACTAAAGAAGTTTTGACAATTGTCTGGGTTGTGGTTATAGGAATATTTTCTTCAAAATTCAAACCACCCTCATGTTGTTGCTCATCCTCTTCTTCGTCAACAGATTCTTCAACAATCTTTGGTTTCTTCACTCGCTTTGACTTTCTCATAGCTTCAGCTTTGACAAATGGAGTTTTTCTTTTCTGCACAGTCATTCTTGTAACTCTTGCAATCTGAACATCTTCTTCTTGAGGTTTTGGTCGAACAGGATAAGGAATGATAAGAGTAGCCCTGTATTGATCCAAAATCTTACTTGGAGTTTTAATCAAACTCAACATTTCTTCAGGAATCTGACCAACAAAAGAGAAATGAGACTGATCAACTTTGGTCGGAATACTAATTTGATGAATCACCATCTTCGGAATTTCAGACTCTTCAATTGGAATTTTATGAAATTCATAAGCTTGAGAAACTATTAAACCCCAAAATCTATGTGCAGAAAGTTCAGTTGCCCTTTTTGAATGTTTGATGCTATCAACAAAGTCACCCCAAAGCACCGTAGCAAAATCAACATCCACACCTTTATACAACCCATACATAAGAGACAATACCTCTCTGCGTGCAGCATCCAATCCACAAGCACGACTTGTTAAGCCACGAAGAATGAAACCAAATAGCAGACTCCAAACAGCAGGAAGCCTGCTCTTTTTGAAATCAGATACCTTCTTCATATAAGGTTCATGACCCATAGAATTGAACATATCAATGAGCTCTTCACTTGTTGGAGTAACATACGGTCCTTGAGTTGGAAGACATAAAAGTTTTGCAAAATTTGTCTTAGAAATGGTTGTTCGCTTCCCACCTTGAAGTTCAAACGAAACCGTATCACTCATTTTGTTGACGATTGCTGTGGTGAATGCAAGAGTGACAATTCTCATCGGAACCTCTTTTGCTGTTGACAAAGCTCTACTTAGAAAAGAACATTTCATACATTCCACCATAATCTGAAGAGGTTCAGGATACTTGGATGGATTCAAAATGGCTTGACAATTGCTTGACTGAGAAGTAAGGGTCGGCATTGAAGACTCTTCTTCAAAATAAACATGATCAGAAGCTGCAGTCATTGTTTGGAAATAGCAGATGAAATTCTAAACTAGGGTTATTGAATTGCTTGAGAGAGTTGGGGAAAAGTAAAAATGATCTAATATTTCCAAAATGTCAACATAAGTTCAACAGGAAAAGAAACGCATTTGTCTTCCTCAGAAAGACAAACTTGTAAATTAGGAGTTAGTATACCGGTTATACTGTGGCGAGGCCTATGAACAATGTTGTGAAAGATTATCCAAGGCGCACTCTCTCTGCCCATCCACAACATCACACGAACATAACGCATATACAGTACAACTGGTGGTTCAAAATAGCTTCTAAGAACAATATCAAACTTTTATCAGAAAATTTCAATTTTACCCAATTCTGAAATAAGATGTGCCCATTGTCGAGATGATGATGGGGCAGCTTGCAGGTATGAGATTGTAATATGATTTTGATCACAAAAAACAACTTAGACCGACAATGCAGAGGGAGAAAGCGTGCCCTAACTTCTACACTTAACTTTCAAGCGACCAAAGTCCAAACTGAACATCACCTGTTCATCTTTCACAAAAGAAGCTAACAGTGGACCGGGCGGTTTGCTGAGTTTTTCAGCGAGACCGGGTTTTGTTTTTAGTATTTGAGCCACCAACCATGTTAGCCTAATAGGTCCAAATAGCAGAGAACTAGTTGCCGTATATTATATGGGTTGATTAAAATAAAATGTTAAACACGAAGGAGTAAACGATAAGTTTATTTCGTATTTGAAATTTGAAATAAGTGAAAATTATAATAAAAAAATTTTAAAAAAACATACAAAAAATAAATTAATCAAAATTATGTGTTTAGTTGTCAATCTCGTGTAGTAAATGGGTTGATTATAACAAAATGTTAAATACGAAGGTTTAAATTGTATATATTAGAATTTAAAATTAAAATTTGAAATATGAAATTAATATAATTATTATGGTAATTTACAGAAACTAAATTAATGATATTAATGGAAAATAAAAAATAAAATAATGAGAAGTGGAAAACAAATATCTCTAAATTACCACAAATTGACATTTAGCAAATTGAAAGAGAAAATTACATGTGGCAATAGAATTCTTATTTATTAGGGAGGATAAGGGATCATTATATTAATATTTATTAAATCTTAATTTTTAATAGATGTTTAATAAACTATTTAGACAAAACCATAATATTTTGTTTCAAAAATCGGTTCTAAGCAGTTGGACAAGATATGGGGACGAGAGCAGTTCAACAATAACCAACTTTATGTCAATTTTTAGACCGGAACCAAACTGGTTCTTCAAAAACCGGGTTGAATCGATACGATGGAACCGGTAAAAAACTGTTGAATCTGTTTATTCGACTTAGATAATTAGATTTCACTTGAGTTTTTTTACCAAATAGGTATTTTAAAAAAAAAATTATTTACTCAATACATAGACTTTTAAACGTATTTATCAATACGTTTATTTAGTAATTTAATAAAAATAAAAAAAATAATAAAAATGTCTACTCATTTCCTATTTTTTTTTTCTCCACAAGCATGGATACAAACTTTTTTTTTCTTTCAAATTCATTATAATTACTTTTTTTTAATAAAATTTGATTCTTTTTTCTTTTTTGAGTTTTTGCTATAATTTTTACAAACATCATTATAATCATCAACTTTTTGAATCTAAACCAACAAATAATTTTTGGAATCTAAATTAACAAACACCATCTTAAATTAAAAAAATCCGTAGGTTCAATATTTTAAGTGCAAAACCGACAATCGTTTCTTAAAAAATACAAGAGAAAATAAAAAAAACATTCAAAATATTTGATAACCATTATCTTCAAATAAAAATTAAAAGAAAAAAGATAAAAATAATAATAATAATAACAATAAGATATAAAATCATACCAATGAACCCAAAAAAAAAATTTCATTTACCGCACTTAACAAGACTATGAAATGGAATAGACATTAAAGAAGGAAGAAAAGCGAACATTTGTGAAATTTGTAAGCAAAATGGTCACAATCGAAAAAAAATATTCGTTTAAGCCAAGGTAAATAAATAAATATTGAATATATTTTTTGTGTTTATTGGTATGACTTTATATCTTTTTTTTATCATTTTTTTTGTAGATAGTGGTAATCGAATCAAGTTATTAAATTGTTAAATAATCCATTTTGGTTTATAACTTTAAAAGTATACATATTGGTTAAATAAGTTTTTTCAGAAACACATATTTGGTTAAAAACCTTATTTCATTTAGCCTGTCAAAAAGTAGTACAATGATGTGTTTAATTTGGTTTATAAACTTTAAATACTTTAAAACAAATCTCTGATAACGGCTCTAAAAACTTGATATATATATATATATATATATATATATATATATATATATATATATATATATATATAGATATATATATTATATATTATCAGGTTTTAAATTTATAAATCTTAATCTATCATGGCTAAACTAATACACGTTGCACGCAGTGGACATGATCATGTAGCAGTATAAATTATCAGGTTTTAAATTTATAAATCATAATCTATTGTGGCTAAACTAATACACGTTAAAGGCAGTGGACATGATCGTGTAACAGTATAGTTATGTAAGCTCACGTGTGGAACACATGGATAATAAGAATCCAATTCAGATATATTCAAATGCTAATTAAACTATAAACAATAAAAGAAAATGGGGTTTTGATTCAATTAAACTAAACTAACAAAACTAAAGCATGGATTTAGAGCCAAAAGAGATAAAGATGTTTTCATATAGATTTCAATTTCGCATTCGATTCAAATTTAATGCAATGAATATTTGGTTATTATTTACCAATTTCTAAAGTATTAGTTATCTTGGTCGGAAAACGAAATTATATAATTAAGACAAATATCTAAACAATTATAATTAAATTCATATTATAAGAGATTTGATCCAGGAATTAACTTCAATAGTTATTAAAGTCGATAATAAGCATAAGTTAGTAAACAAACGCTTCTCTTACACATTAAAGTTTATGATTTTATCATTTAAACCTAGGTTTTGTCATACATTAGTCATAATTATTTAATGGTCATAAAACGACTATGAAACAAGCTAATAAAACTAGATTGATAGTCTAAGTTCTACTAACTTTAGCAATAAGTAATAAAAATCAAAACTTCAACACATAAGGATTTTTTTATCAAACATACATAATATAACGTCCCAAAAATACTAAGTGAACATTTTTTCTTTAAATCAATCAAAAACAACCATTCATTCGATTCGAAATCTCATCGGAGTATAAAAACATGTCATATAGTCATTAGAGTACAAAACAAGTCAAATAATGTGTTCCGTGCAAAACAAGTCAAATAATGTGGAACACTGGTGGATGCGGTGTAATCACGTCGAGCTCTTCCCCTTTGGAACCGGAAGTACCCGAAACCATAAACATGAAACCGTAAACACAAAGCTTAGTGAGTTCCCCAAAATACCCCATGCTATACATACATATCAGCTCGAAGCTGTACGAGTCTATTTCATCCCCAAGTCTATTTCAACTCAATCGGTATTTTCCAACCATATAGGTCTTTTTCACCCCCGAGTCTATTTCAACTCCATCGGTATTTTTCAACCGAACGGGTCTATTTCGCCCTTAGGTCTATTTTGTCCCACATACAATCAGCATACAGTCATATCAGCAAGAGTCACAATGACAATAAGCATATATAGGCATATCAGCAAGTCTCACAAAGACCACTATCATCCTACAACATAATCCAGTGGGCCGACATTGGTTCCTTCGACCGACGAGTACAGTGAAGAGACTCACCTCGATCGGTAAACGGATAGACCTCACACATGAGCTGCTGGTTCTAAAGTTTCTCCTATTGAACATACCCAAAAACGTAACCTTAATTATCAATAAAGGTAATATCCCAACTTAGCAAGTCCAAAAACCAAGACTAGTCCCCTTTTGGGCAAAATACCATTTTGCCCTTCTAGGTCCTCAATCCCTTACAGTTGACCAAAAGTCAAACTGATCAAAAAGTCAACGGTCAACCTTCTGTTGACTTACTCATGGCGTACAACTAGTTGTACGCGCTGCGTAGAGCCTTAGATGGAAACGTCTTGGATCAATCAGGATACGTTGGGCGTAGCCCAATTTACGCCCTGCGTACCACGCAGATAAGCCAATTCAATTTTTAGCTCTTAATCCATAAAGACCAACCATATATTGCTTAGATCTGGTCCTAATAAACGTCTTAAGTGATAAAGTTGATGACTTTATGCCTTTGCATGGCTAAATGGAGCTCAAAATCAAACCCTAGTCCCATAACATTCACTAATTACCAAAAACCCTTGCATGCGTGAATGAGGACAACCAAGATCCCATTTTTATGACTCCTTAATCTCAAAAACCACAAGAATTGCAAACCATAATGTTTGGAGTAGCTCATACTCATAAGACTCAACATTAGGGGACAAAAGAACATGGAAATTAAGAATCTAATGAGATCTAGCACATGGACCAACAAGATTCAAGCTTTATACATTATGGACTTGAGAAATGCAATGTAAGCTTTGGATCAACAAGCTTGAGCTTCAACAATCAAAAAGCTTGGACTTCTCCTTATTCAAAATGCACCAAAATCACAAACAAAGGCTCAAGGTTTGCTCTAGAGGATTAGGGTTTTGAGTTAATGCTCAAGGGGGTGGAGGTTGATGATAAGAAGAGTCTCAAGGGGTTAAGGTCCTTAAATATGGCTCAAAACCCCAAAAATTAGGGTTTGCACCTTGCGAGGTTACGCCCTGTGTAACTTAGGTTAGGCCTTGCATAAGGGATAAAACCCCTGCACGGGCTTAATGAACTACGCCCTGCATAGCTGGCCATCTACGCCCCGCATAGAGCCATAATTCCCAATATAATAAGCTTAAATAATATACAAAAAAGTACCTGAGAAAACGAGCGTTACACATAAGGAGCGCTTAAATTCGTGGATATAAGGAGCGCTTAAATTCGACTTTGTAT